GTCAGGAAGGCCAACCGTACCTTGTCATGTATCCACAGATGTATCTCAAGCAGGTCCAGGGAGGTGATACTCCCCCTCTATGCGACACTGGTCCGGCCGCAGCTGGAGCACTGCATCCAGTTCTGGGCACCGTGCTTCAAGAGGGATGTGGACAACATGAAGAGGGTCCAGAGGAGGGCCACTCGCATGATCGGGGGCATCAGGGCAGGCCCTATGAGGTCAGGCTACGGGACCTGAACCTATTCAGCCTCCATAAGAGAAGGCTGAGGGGGGGATCTAGTGGCCTGTTACAAACTAGTCAGAGGGACCAGCAGGCATTGGGGGAGTCCCTGTTCCCCCAAGCACTACCAGGAGTGACTAGAAATGACGGTTACAAGCTGGCAGAGGGTAGATTCAGATTAGACATCAGGAGGTGCTACTTCACTGTCAGGGCAGCTAGGATCTGGAACCAACTTCCAAGCGGAGTGGTGCTGGCTCCTACCCTGGGGGGTCTTTAAGACAAGGCTTGAAAATCACCTTGCTGGGGTCGTTTGACCCGAGTACTCTTTCCTGCCATGGCAGGTGGTCGGACTTGATGATCTGCTCGGGTCCCTTCCAACCCTACTAACTATGAAACTATGGAGCGGAGCAGAGCCCAGCCCAGAGAGCATGCTGGGATACTGGGGGATGCTGGTTTAAGTTAAACCAGTAAGGGATCTGGGACAGACATTGCATAAACCGGTTTGAGCATAATCAGTTAAGTCTGATATTACATTCAACCAGGTTTATGTCAAACCAGTTTTGGCCATTTTGAAACTGGTTTATGTGTGTTGAACTTATGTTCTGTTAAAGGTTTAAACCAGTTTCTGATCGCTTATACCCATTACGTGTAATGTCCATCCCTAGCCAGTAGGGCACCCACCTATGATGTGGGGGAACAAAATCAGGTCCCTGATCGTTTCAGATTAGGGCTTAAATTAGGATCTACAATATTACAAGTTAGTGTTATAAATAGTTGGACTCTATACAGGCATACCTCATTTTATTGCGCTTTGCAGATATTGTGTTTTTTACAAATTAAGGCAAGACCCTCCACCAGCAAAAAGATCACGACTCGCTGAAGGCTCAGATGATGGTTAGCATTTTTTAGCAATAAAGTATTTTTTAATTAAGATATGTACATTTTTTTTTTAGACATAATGCTATTGCACACTTAATAGACTACAGTATAGTGTAAACATAACTTTTATATGCACTGGGAAACCAAAAAATTCGTGTGACTCGCTTTATTGTGATATTCGCTTTATTGCAGTGGTCTGGAACCGAACCCGCAATATCTCTGAGGTATGCCTGTACAGTTGGTCTTTATTTGTTTTTCTCTTGTTGTAGTGGTTCTACTTGGACCCAGTGAATTTTGGTTATATAGAGCATAGTTTCTCAACCTGTGGTACGCGTACCCTTGGGGGTATGTGAGACGCAGGCAAGTGTTACGTGAGTACTCCAACACACTCTCTCTTGCCCCTGCCTCCTCTCAAAACTATGGCAAAAAATTTGGTGCACTGTGCTGCACTTTAAATTCCCCAGTAATAATTTGGCGTGCTGCACTTTGTGTGGCACTTGGTTCAGCTCTCCTAGCGTTGGCCAACCTCACCTCTAGCCCAGGTACATACCTGAGTTGTGCACCCCTGGTGTAAAAAGGTGGCAACCCTACCCACACCAGATCAGATATCTGTCATATCGCAGCCTTATATACACAGCCCTTCTTCCAACATATGGCACACATTAGTCTGTAAATATAAAATCTCCTGGAAAATTGAGTGTTGGGGTACTTTTAAAATTTTCTGAAGTTAGGGGGTACTTGCTACTTAAAAGGTTGAGAAACACTGATATAAAGGGAGAACAGGGGACTGAATGTAGCCTAGTAGTTAATGCACTCACCTTGAGTGTAGGAGATAAAAGCTCCAGCTCAAAAGAAATCTTAAGTTTCCATACAAACTGGAACTCCTTCAGTGGGAGAGACTGAAAGGCCTAATGTCTAGGCTGCTTGCTTGGGGTGTGAAATCTGGGTGTCCCACATACCAGGTGAATGCCCTAACTATTAAAGTATTGGCTATTTTTAGATATTTATGTGGGTCTCTTTCTCATTACAAATCAAAATAAAAAAAGATTGTGGTAGAAGTGAAACAAAAAAGTAACATGAATGTAATATTAATTTATAAGTAGAAATATTGTCTGAGTGTTAACTAATTGAGAGATTAACTTGAGATTTGAGGCGCACTCATACATACTTTCTTGTCTTTGTTCCTTTTAAGAAGAAAGAGAACTTAAACATAATGTGAGAAATAATGTCTTCTCCAGTTAGGAATTTAAGTATTTGACTAATCCCATTAATATCCACACGCTTAAGTATATGTTTACTTAAGTGTTTTATTGGATCGTGGCCTTAAGTGTCACTTTATATTTATATCAGTTACCATCAGTAAGAAAATCTCACTTACATTTATCAAGAAGGGTATTTCATATATTGCATGCTACGATGCTATTTTATTTATCTTATGCTACATGCTTTTAGAGGACAATACCGTAAGTTACTTTTTTCTTTTAATATGCATATTTCAAGTGTCACTTGATTATAACGATTTATTTAAATCTATATGGGGTGTGCCAGTGTCTAAGGAGGGGAGTCACCTGATTTTGTTTTTGTCTTGAATTTCTTTGTCAGTATAGTAAAAAATACAAGTACAGAGTAAAATCTTCCTCTTTTTTGTATAAAACTGACCACTTAGTTTGCGGAATTTTATCAAATTCCTTTTATTATCTGTTGATATTTCTGCTGGAATATGAGATCCAGAAAAGTAACCTTGCTGCACAGTTGGAGTTGAAGTAAGCCTTTATTTTTAGCTTCCTAAATCCATAACAATTTTTTAAATAATTAATAATATTCATTTTTAGTATTTTTTTCTATTTACTATTTCCCACCATGATAATCTTACTTTATATAGAATGAGCATTAATGAGTTGAAATGGACAGTTTATAAAATCTGAATGTAAAGTGTGTTAAATTGAACAATCTCATTAGTGTCCTAATCTACCTTTGCACAGTAAGGGTTTGTGTGGTCATGATCTTAGAAGTCATAATCTGATGTTTCCAGTTAATTAATATTTAATTGTTTTAGATGCTTAAATAGGTTTCTCAATCTATTCTATTTCTTGCTTACTGAGGAAGTTTTCCTAACTTGATTTATTTTGTATAAAACTAGTAATAGGTTTGTGAAATTAATGTACGAACATTTCTGTCCCAAAGAAGAAAATGTTCTCTTGAAAATGTCTTTTATTCTTTAGAATGTCTTGTTTTATAATGCCTTTTATTAGTTACAGAAACATCCAAAGTGGGAAATTACTCTTTTCCTTGAACTTAATCCTATTAACCTATATTGTATTTGTGTAATTTGATTAATTCCTTATTAAGAGCAACTCTTAAAGTGTCTGATGTAAAAATATTCATAAGGATAAATTTAACTTCTTAAAAGACTTCTTTTTAGCTGATTGTTATTTCAGTTCTTCAGTGGAATCCCATTTAGCTAAAAAAAACTTTAATTTTCTGGGAATTCTTTGATACTTTATTGGGACCCAGTTTGTGTTTTATTTATTAACTACATAAGAGGCATTAGTTTCTTTAATAGTAGAGCTGGGGTGCTATAGCTATAATGGTCCAGGAAATATGAAAGGCAAGGATTCCATTTTGGTGAAGATCTTTTATTGGACCAACTGTATGGGGACCTGAGAGAGCTTTGTACCCAAACACTTTGTCTAGAGTCTCTCCCAACTATACAGTTAGTCCAATAAAAGATATCGCCCAAAAAACCCTAGTTTTTTGTTTTTTTTGTTCTTAGTAAGACAGTCTTGAAAAACATCTGCTCAATTATTTCATAGTAAAGATGTTGATAGTAAGCTGACTCCCTCACTGAAGCTGCTTCTTTCAAAAGTGCTTCAAAGTGCCAGTGCCAAAAGTCCCGTTCTCCTCCCTCTCCCCTCCCATGGTAAAAATTGAAATTGGAAGGAGTTATACATAGTACTGTATATTGCTTTCTTTCTGAATAAAAAGTTAAAGTTAAACCAAGCACAGGTAAGTGAAAGAGATAATTATAAGCTGCTACCATAATTATGTAAAGATAGTTTTAGAGCAGATGGCAAGATATGATAAATTGCATGTGCCCTTCAAAAAAAGGGGTCAAAACTGTAAATCTTTATTTGCATTTCACTGAACTTGAGGATTTGAATGAAGTGGGACCTGGATCCCCACAACTGATTAGTTTTGGCTTTACATAATCTATCCTGTTCTCTCCTTCACAAAATCCTACTCAATTTTACTCATTTCTAAAATATATTTATAAAAGCTTAACTTTGATCTAAAATGTGTCCTTACATTTTTTCAGACTTGAGGCCTTGATTATTAAAATATTAGTATGAATTCTATTTTTCATATTAATATTTTGTATTTGCAGACTTGGGTTGGCAATAAAAGAAGAAAGATGAGCAGCAAGAATGTTGCAGAATCTGGAGGTACCCCGCCACGGACTGTATCTAGCACCCCTACAGTACTTCCAGAACCAGCAGTTAGAAATGTGGTAAACACTGCTCGATCCCAAAGCCAGCAGTCTTCTTGGACTTCCTCTAACAATGATGTAATAGTGACTGGTATATACAGTCCTGCTACTACATCTAGCAGGCAGGGCTGCACTAAACAGACTAATGTTTCAGTGACTGATATACATAAAAACTCTAGTCAGAGACCACCTGTAAAAAGTGATACAGAATTTCAGCAGCACATACCTATAGGACGACAAGCAGCATCACACTGTAAAAATGCCTCGCTATTATTGGGGGAAAAAACTATAATTTTGTCAAGACAGACAAGTGTATTGAATTCTGCAAACTCCATATACAATCACACCAGGAAAAATTATGGTGGTTCTTCAGTTCAGACTGCGGAGTTGGTATTGCCTCAGAAGCCAGTGATATGTCACAGGCCTTGTAAAGCTGAACCAATTGGATGTCAAAGGTTACAAAAACATGAACACACAGCTATTGTATCACACATCCCATCTGGACAAAGGGCTAATATTCGAGACCCTTCTTGTAGCACACAAAACTTGGAAATTCGTGAAGTTTTTTCCTTGGCAGTTACTGATCAGCCTCAAAGGATTATGGGAGGAAATACATCACAGAAACATTGTTCAGTGGAAGGCAGTTGCCTGTCTATTGCAATGGAAACAGGAGATGTTGATGATGAATATGCTAGAGAAGAAGAGTTGGCATCTATGGGTGCACAGATACAGAATTATTCAAGATTTTGTGAAAGCAGCAGTTCCCTTCGAGCAGAGAACCAAAGCACAGCTTTGCCTGGGCCAGGAAGAAATGTGAGCTGCAGCTCACAGATGGTGAATGCCAGGGACTTGCCTGACAACATACTGTATCATAACAGAGACTACCATTTGCCTCCACGGACCTCATTACATACAACATCCAGTACACTGTACAGCAGTGCTAATCCATCAAGAAGTAATTTTTCTCCTCATTTTACATCATCAAATCAACTGAGGCTCTCACAAAACCAAAACAATTACCAGGTAATCTGTAGATTTATATTTGTCTATCAGATTTTCAAGAAGAAGATGCCTTGAAAGTCAAGAAAGTAATGCATCTGGATCAAGTAAATTAATGGAATCTGATAGTACTCCTTGACACTGTTTCAGGTTTTCTCCTAGCTATTGTATACATTTCTATCAGCTGTTTATGAGGGTATGTATACACTGCAAAATAAAGGTATGATTGTTGCATATGCTACTGTACCAGTTTTTAGTTTAGCAAAGCATGAGCAACAATACAAGTGAAGACTGGATAGCATAGGCTTTTAGCACCGTTCTAGTAACAAGAGTATGTACCTAGAGTCATGGGGATTTTGTATGCTGCTTGCTGGCACAAGCTGAAGCTTGTTGCTGGCATCTCATAACAACTGTTACTGACTGTACCATTTTCTGCCCTTTTAAACGGCAGTTTGATGTGCACCCTGGAAGTGCTAATTTTCTGTTAATTCTCCTTCATGCCCCAAACAGCTATACATTCTTTTGCTTCCTGTCCTTCTAATTAAGGACTAGGATTTCCTGCCAGCTAAAATGAGGGAGGGGAGAGTGGTGGGTGGCGGGGGGGTCACAGCTAATACTAGATGCAAGCGTCTAGGCCCCTAACCTTCATAGGCTAGGAGCAGACATTCAAAAAGCCTGAGCCTGAATTGATTCAATCTTTGCAGGTTAGTCTGAACCAGTTTGTAACCAGACAGACGTTCTCTGTGGACTGAGGAAATTCAGGCACATGCCCACAGTGGCTCAAGCTAGAAGCCAGGGGGCACTAGAATAGCTCTCCCTTCCTTTCTGCAGGGAGCTGAGCTGAGGGGAACTGCCAGGCTCTGGCAAAACCTCTGATTAGGGAGGGACTGGAGTATTGCTCAAGGGGCTGGAGTATTGCTAGACCCCAGCTCCCTGCTAATACTCTAAGGCAAGGGAGGGGAGGGGTGCATGAATCTGCTGAAGATATGGAGCTTTTCAATTTCCCTCCCTGCTTCTTTATACTGTCTGCAGCAAACTGACAGGCAAGTAAGCCAGCAGGGGGCTGATAACAGTGTTTATCACCCCATCAGCAATAGCCTCTCTCCATTAGTTCAAATGTCTTAAACAGCTTACCAGCTGACCTGTTGATTAGCTCCAAAAAGCCCTAAGCAGTCACTGTTCTGTCTGTCTGTCCCAATGAAATTGAAGAGATGCGCACACAGACGCCTCTTGGCATTAGCTAGTATACCACATGCCTAGGGTCCGTGGGGTGGGGTCTGTGCTATGGGAGGGGGGGGATTTCCTGTTTGAGCAGCATGGGGGGGGGAGGAGAGGGGAGGGCAAGGAGAAGTCAGGCAGACCCTGCTGTACCTGCAGTGTCTGTTGGAGCTCCAGCCACG